CTCTCTCCCTCTTCCCCCCTCTCAATTGCAGGACATTTTTCTGAATATTCCCATGACGCGTCATCACCGTGTCACCCTCCGGCCCCCGGGGCCAGAACTCCGAACCTGATCCGCATTTCTTTCTTTCAATTTCATTGGTTCTTCTTTTTTTACCCCTTTTCTTTATTCCTTTTACATTCTCTTTGTGATTAATATTTTACCATTTGGAGAGAAAACAAGAGACTCAAACATACACATTGATACATATTGAGAGATACAGAAATGAATGGTTATCAATGTGTAACATATCTCCATGCGTCTCCCAATATGTATCAGTATGAATACTCGAGTATCTTGTTGTTTCTCTGTAAGCCGTTTGTATATAATTATCTATTTACAATGTTTCCAGTTCCTGCTTTGTATATATTACCGTGTCGGGTATCAGATTGTTTTTCTTGCCTTGAAGGGCTGACGTAACCCCCGAAACTGCAGCTTGTTGGGAAACATTGTTAACTTAACTTTGTTACAATGAATAGTTTAAGTGTTGCAACATGTGGACTGTGTGTGTGTGTGTGTGTGTGTGTGTGTACACTATATTGGCAAAAGTATTTGGACACCCCTCCAGATCATGTGATTCAGGTGTTCCGTGACATTTCCCGGCTACTAAATATTCCGCGGTCACCTGTTACTGGGATTATAACAAAGTGGAAGCAACTGGGAACAACAGCAACTCAGCCAGGAAGTGGTCGGCCACGTCACATGACAGAGCGGGGTCAGCGCATGCTGAAGCGCACAGTGCGCAGAAGTCGCCAACTGTCTGCAGAGTCAATAGCTACAGACCTCCAAACTCCATGTGGCCTTCAGATTGGCGCAACAACAGTGCGTAGAGAGCTTCATGGAATGGGTTTCCATGGCCGAGCAGCTGCATCTAAGCCTTACATCACCAAGTGCAATGCAAAGCGTGGCATGCCGTGGTGTAACGCACGCCGCCACTGGACTCTAGAGAAGAGGAGACGTGTTCTCTGGAGTGACCAATCACGCTTCTCTGTCTGGCAATCCGATGGACGTGTCTGGGTTTGGCGGTTGCCAGGAGAACGGTACTTGCCTGACTGCATTGTGCCAAGTGTAAAGTTTGGTGGAGGGGGGATTATGGTGTGGGGTTGTTTTTCAGGGGTTGGGCTTGGCCCCTTAGTTCCAGTGAAGGGAACTCTTAAGGCATCAGCACACCAAGACATTTTGGACAATTTCATGCTCCCAACTTTGTGGGAGGAGTTTGGGGACGGCCCCTTCCTGTTCCAACATGACTGCGCACCAGTGCACAAAGCAAGGTCCATAAAGACATGGATGGGGGAGTTTGGGGGGGAGGAACGTGACTGGCCGCACAGAGTCCTGACCTCAACCCCATAGAACACCTTTGGGATGAATTAGAGCGGAGACTGCGAGCCCCTCCCCCAACATCAGTACCTGACCTCACAAATGGTCCAACATTCCCATAGACACACTCCTAAACCTTGTGGACGCCTTCCCAGAAGAGTCGGAGCTGTTATAGCGGCAAAGGGCGGAGCCAACCCAATACTGAACCCTACGGACTAAGACTGGGATGCCATTAAAGTTCATGTGCGTGTAAAGGCGTCCCAATACTTTTGGCAATATAGTCTATCTATCTATCTATCTATCGAATCTATATATAATTTGTGTATGGTTTATTCCACATGTGACTTGTATATTATTTAGCTGTTTCCGTACCTCTGACATATCACTATGCAGAACACAGATTCTCCTTCCTTGTGCACAGGAGTTGATTTCCAACACTGAACATCAAAAACAAGTTCCTGGTCAGGTTTTTAATGTAA